ATATATATATGTGGAATAAAATGAGTTTTCTTATGCTTTTGCCACTGCTTGTACTCTGGTGCTTTGATCTCTTTAAACCTGTGGTGTTACTAACAGCTTTTCATACTACTTTTTTACATGCGTCTTAGAAAGCAATGTCTGTGAGGTGACGGGAGCAGTAGGCTTTCATTTGTGCAGCCATGTTCCCCAGAAGTAGAATTATTTTGCTTCTCGTTTCTGGAGAGCGTGAATTATGTCCTATGATCCTCTTAGTCTTTGGAAATGTCTGACTAGGTGGCTGTTCAGTGCAGTGAAATGGTGATTAAGACAGGCTAAGCGAGGTTAAGACAGCAGTTAAGCCTTTTATCCATTTGGCTGTTCTACTCAAAGGGAGTAGGGGAGGTGTGGGAGTAAATCAGAATGGACTCGCTCAAAATACATCTGCTGTGAATCAAAATATAAGAACTACGCCATTAAATAGCAGACTGAAAAGAAAATTACTCTTGCCAGTAGCGGGGAACCAGGACATAGTTAATTACTGGGGTAAGCAAAATTAGGCTGCTGAAAACCAGGTGCAAATAAGAAGTCTCAGAGCAATGAGTCCCAGTTTGTCATTCCAGAGAAAGGGGCAGCAGGCTAAACCAGCGATGGAGAGAGACCTTGGAGCCCCTGGAGACGCGATGTAGACAGAGAGAGGACCTGAACCTCCGTATGTCCCACATACAGAACTGTCACCAGCTCCAGGGATGCTCCAGGGCACCTTAAGGGTGGGCACCTGCAGAGGTACACCCCTGCACCGCACTGCTCCAACAGCACACCAAGCCCCCTTATTGAGGGGCTGTATCTATCTGTTAGCCAGATTAACCGAGACCCTCGCTGCCATTCAGAAGAGGTTTAGGCTAGCTCTCCTGATCTTCACTGGCTCTATCCAGACAGAGATACTCCAGTGGGCTAAAATAAAAGATCAGACTAACCTGTCATTTCCCACAGAATATTTTTGGGCACAGTTACAGCTACCAAAAAAAGGACACACATACTTGCTCTATGACATAAGAGAAAAGTAGAAGCATTCTTACTTTACGACGTCAAAGCTTTGGACTGCATCGTTCCAGAAATACTTCACGCTGTGGTGTGAGAAATAGCGAATCTGTAAGTCAAATAAAAGCAGTTGGGGACTATTCGACAATTGTTTTCCGTTTAAATTTTGCACTCCTGCTCAAAATTTCTAAAACTAACTTAAAAAGTGACATACATTCTAATTTTGAAAAGGAGACACAAAGTTGCTACTGCGTGGTGTCTTTATTATCCGTGCAATGTTTTATGCAGTGTGACTGTTTGCTTTCTAATATCCTTACTCTTTCAGCAATCCCAAAATATATTGAAACAAAAGACCTTCTTTTTCTGTAACCCTCACCCAACTGACTTCTCCAGCAGCCTCAGCAGGGCATGTATTGAACTGCACACATGGTTTGTATATTCTTTTCTTACATGCCTCAAAGACTAAGGATTTATACACCCCAGGTCCACTTACAGGCAAGTATTTTTGAGTGCCATTTTTGTTCTCTTCAGCCGGGTTTTCAAATACATGAATGCTGTGGCCATTCGAAACCTTGTCTTGAGGAGGAGTAGGACTTTGCAGTGGACTGGTTCCTAGAGAAAGCACAATGCGAACCTTTGCACAAAACCATATCCTGAATTCATCCTACAAGATTAAGAGAAAAGATGGAGAATATTAACATCTAAGGATATACAGAAGGGAGTTCAGGGATTGATTTCTTTCCTTGAAGCACCAAAATTGAGTTGAAAAAGCACACCAATTAGCGAGGTTTACTGAAGTGGAAGGCACCCTGGGTTTGACACTAATTACCCCAAGGTTATGGTTTTGCCCTCATCAAACTTCAACATCACACCCCGATGTAGGGTCCCTTCCAGCCCCTAAAAACTATGAAAATAGCATCAGAATCCCCGGCTTCCCAACGGGATCTAGAATACTTACTTATTTCTATGGAAATGGCAGGGCTCTAAGTCTGGCTTCTGGTTCTTCAAGGATTAGAAGTATGTAACAGAACGATTCAAATACATTTTTTATTTAAACAGATGTTAATATTGCCACATATTTTTTGCCTCTCCTGTTTATATTGTCTGCATGCAACTTCATATTCATGTTATACAAGCAACGAGACAGCAGATTCTATTTAGAGCCAGCAGCTAACTTCCCCGTGTGCCTTCAGACTAATACAGCTAACTAATAATTGGATTATGCCTGAATTTACATCAGACAAACCTTAACTACAGAAGATGACACAGAGAGCTGTGCAGAGCCTTCTTCAAATGGGAAGAAAACCCATCAAAACTCTGAATTCCAGTTTCTGTTCTGAACCAGAAAGGAAATCCCAAAAAGGTGCTTGGAAAAAAGCCAGACTGCCTAAGTACAGTTCTCCCCACAAAAAAACCAGCAGTTTGCTGTGGAGTCGGGGCAGAGCAGACCCCCAGAATCCAACAATGGAGCAGTACGGCAAGAGGCTGGAGTGTCTCAGCATTAGCCAGGACATTCAGGGTCCCACAGCATGGCAGAAAGTAAGGAAGCCCCAAGACCTCCACCTCCAGGAGCCAGCCTGCACGCCACAGGACTGACAGCCTAAAAGTGCTGAGAGCTCCAGCTCAAGCCAGGGACAAAAGCCCATGGCCACGCTACCGGGCAGTCACAGACCCTGAAGCCCAGATCTGTGGCAGCCCCAGAGCCAAGAACCCAGACTGCTTTCCCCAACAGAAACCTACCTGCCTTCTTCTAAAACCATTTTGGTCTGGCAAATCAGCATTTTCTAACAAATGTTTAGTTGGAAAATTCCTAATCGCCTCCAGTTTGAACCAACCATAAAAGCTGCTGGGATCCTGAGTCAAGCCGGGATACAATAGCAGAGCGTGATGGCTCAGGAAGCGAGGCAGTCTGCTGCACCCACGGCTGCTACAGTTTCAGAAACTGCGTTACACTAAACAAAACCCCGAGGCAAAGAGGTCTGCAGCCTCTGCTCACGCGCCTCCAAAGCTGGGGTCTACTCAGCCCCTGCAACCTTCTCCTCTAAAGGGGACCGCGATGGCCAGAGCACCGCGGAAGCACGGCCTTCCTTCAGGTTTGCACACACCATTTAAGTTGTACAGAAATGGTCTTTAAGTTGAGATGACACCAGCAAGGTGCTGTCTGAACACTCTTCACAAATTTGACTGTACACCTTAAAATATTCTTTTTAAAGCTAAATCCATTTCTTAATATTTCTTTTTTGTAACTATTTTGTTTTTCAAATACAGTCCTGAATGGAAACGTAGAATAACAAGTGCATTACCAGCATGGACTGATAGATTTTTAAAAAATTGTTTAATTAAAACAACCGGAGCTTCAGTGAATGCTATCTAATCTCTATTACTTGCTTAGCTACAGATGAAATAACACAGGACCAAAAGTCTTCACTAACTCAGCAAACTTCCTTTAGATTATTTGCTGGTGTTTCACGTGCAGGAAGCTACGTGGGCCCAGTGCAAGCTGGTTTATTCGTGTTTATCTGACAAACAAACTGAGGAATGTTTCTGGCTTCACTCTGAGACCCTTCAGCTTTTCAGTTTCCTTGCTACTGACAAACCAGCCCTAGACCGTTTACACCCCACGATGCAAATCAAGTCAAGTCGCCAGGAGGACATGTCTGAGCTCCGCTCATTCCTGCCTCTGACCATTTTTCTACTCTGCATTCACAAAAGCAGAGACCAGGTGGGGGCACAGGCTTACAGTTGTTCTCAGCAGCACCACTTCGCAGTCTTTAAGCGTCATCCTTTTGCATGTTGCTTTGACACGCCACGCAGGCATCCAGTAGAGGAGGAGGAGGAGGAAGCCACCAGTACACAACACCCCGACAGCAACTAAAACCAGCTTCCAGCGGCACAGATTGTAACCATAAATCTCCTGCACAGAAACAGAGAAACAAATAATGAGCAATGATATCCTTAACTGCTCTAACTGATGAATTCAGTATTGACTTGCTATAAACCGAGGCAGATAAACGAGCCCCTTTCAAAGGCTTTTCCTCTTTTTTCTCTGCTGGGGGCACAGGGAGGTCCAGAGCAGTTCTCTTACCGCGCTGGGATGCTGCTGTGTTCGGGCAGAGGTATGCATGCACACGCATTCAAACCACTTCCGTTTGGGAAGAGGTCCCTCCCAGGCCTGCCTCCGGGGACATTCCTCAGAGCAGACTCATGCCACAAGCTAGTTTTCAGGTTGTAAGGAACTAAGTTCACACCACCGGTTACAAAGGTGGGAAGGGCACGCCAGCTGGCTCAGCATCTAGAGCATGCAGCTAGCACGGCTTCTCCCATTTGCAGTCCCAGAGACAGACTGATGGAAGCAGCTTTCCAGAGCTGCTCACAGGAACTTTTAGGTGCGGACATGAAGCCAAGCATGGGGCAGAAGGGGCACAAGGAGCACTCCTTCCAGAGACAAAAGCTGGAGTGTAGCAGCTGGGAAAACAGCCTACAAGGAAGCAAGGCAAGCTGGCATGAGACAGACTCCAAATTTTAGTTTCAGCAAAGTGCTGAGTGCCTCTTGGTGAGAGCAGAGGACCAGTCACAGGAAAGGCACAGAAAATTCAGCCAGATGACACAGGCCTTCTTAAGAAAGAAACTTTCAGGCCCCGTCCTGCACTGTCTCACGCTACATCGTCAGACCATGTCTGGGGCTCTGAAACCTCAGCCAAATGGAAACTCCCACGGATGCTACTGAGCCTTGTTCACATTTATGAAAGCATTGCATGCAAACAACTGTTGGCAAAACCTTCCTGAAACTTCATTACACATTGTACTTAGAGCTCATTTAATTAACAGACTAAAAAAAACCAGCTTTGCAACACAGAAAACTTTCCATAAATGTCTCAACTTTGGGTAAAAAATCATTGGCTTTGTTTTGACAAACTGGGGAACATCTCATTCACTCGGCAGGCACTTCATCCCAAGGGAAGGACAAAAATGTTAGGGAAAAAAGAAGCGTTTTCCTCTTCTCACCACAAAGGGCTCCCTCCACTTTAAAAACAAAACCAAGAGGTTCTCCTTTTTGAACAGGAAGTGGAACTTCTTTTGAAACATCCTATGACTCCGTTTTGGTGCTGACGGCTCTAATCGTGTTCCTCTAAACACGCGCTTACTCTCAGTTAGTAGTAAGAGGTCAGATCCTGTCATCCGGACATGAGCATGAGCCTTCCCTGCACCTCTGAACCAGCTCGCCCAGGGTGGCTTCACAGGCAACACAACTCCTGGGACTGGGAGAGGAGCAGGAGCAGACCATTTAGGAGGAAATTAATTCATGTGCATGAACAAGCCTTCCAGACATCCTGCCGTCTTAAAAGGGGCAGGAGATTTAAGTGACCAAGCACTAGATTTTCCCTTTAAAACTCATTTTCCCTAAAGCAGGGGTGTCAAACATGGGGCTACGTAGGCTGCATAATCCAGCCCCTAGTGCTGCCCTGTAGACCCGCGCTCCGCGCCGGACCGGCCCTGTATGCAGGGCCTGGGACGCACGCTGCCGACAGCACTCGCTGGGGCCGGGTCCCGGATGAGCCCTGCCAAGTGCCACGTGCACTGGATCAGGCCTGCAGCAGGGGGTCCCCGGGTCTGAGTCAGGCAAGAGTTGAGCTAACTATCACTAACCCACCCCCCTAACCACTCACCGGGCACAACCCCGCCTGGGTCAGTCTCACACGCACGTGAAGAGCACAGTTATGCCGCACTGCTCTCTCGGGACACCATGCCACAAGGAAGCGTGGCCAGGCTTGGGTTTTTAAGCAACACCCTGCTTCATTGCAATCTTCCCATGAATGTTTCGAATCATGCGGCAGTACAGAACAGCGCCTGCCAGATTCGGACTCTGCAGGAGGTGCCTGGTTGTTTACATCTTCTATTTAACTCGGGCTTTCCAGAAATGAAAACATCCACCCCAGGCTAGTCCTTTACAAATCCAGGAATGGCTCCAAGGCTTGTCAGGCAATTCTGAGATGTGTTTTTAGTTGGGATACGCTCTCCCCGATGTAACGTGCCCCAAACAGAAAGCCCTCCCCCTAGGAAACCACATTTCCTTTACTTCGTGAAGCTAGACCATAAAACCAATTACCATCTCATCTTCTTCGTCTTTATTGACAAACTTCTTTTCTTCCTTCTCCATGTTGAGCGTGACGTGGAACTTCTCAACTTCAGGAATGGAAGACCTCTGAAAAGGGAAGGAGTAAAAACTGCTTAAGTAACGTTTTATTCATTTTGCATCTTCAGCAACATCTTTGGTGCTGCCACATTTACAGACGTGCAACACGACGGCTGACCTGCTTTCAGCGAACCCCAACAGAGTTTCCAACCAAAGCTTAAAGCATTCGCTTTCAAAATGCAGAAGTGTTCACTAGAACGATGTAAGTTTAAAAACATTTTTTCCAGCTCAATTTTACCCTATCAGTCCCTAATTTGTTATTTAACAATTTCAAACATGCATAACCGGAGCTCCATTTTTGGCTCTCAATGCCTCACAAATATTTAGGATGTTACCGTGATAACACCCCTTTGGAGTATGAAAACAGCTTTATTTCAAAGACAGCAACTGAGGAGCAGAGAGATTCATGGCCACGTGGGCAATCTGTGCCAAAATTAGTATCTAAAACCACAGCTTCTAGGTGGAGTGCTTTGCCACCAAGCCACCCTTCAGTCCATTTTGCTTGAAGCTGGCTGCAATACCTAAATGCATGTTTTGCTTAATGATATTCTTGTATCAAACGAAAACACTTACTTAGACATGTACTGCTAGAGATCTTCATACTGCACCATATTTGTTTTTATTGTGCCCTAATAATTTCTGTATCAGACTAGTATACAAGACCCCAAATCAGGAGCAGGGTAATTTTGTATCGTAGAAGGAAAGGCATTCCCTGGCCACACATACTGCATTTTGTCACGTCTAGTGCAGCCCATATGCAGTAGGCACCTTGACTGTGAAGGGGAAAACCTAAAAAAAAAAAAAATCTTCAATCAAGGTGTGTGAGTGGCATCAGCTAGGGAGCCGTGCCTGCTCCCGAGGCTGCCGTGAGCGCTAGCTGGGCTTGCAGTCGGACCCGGCATGCCATATCCAGGGCCGCGTGTCAAGTCTGACCATGCATGCAGGCTCTAGAGCCACATGCCAGGTCGGACCCTGCGTGCCAAGGCCAGGACCACACGCCAGGTCTGACCCTGCGCGCTGCCTCTGGGCCCGAGTGCCGAGAGTCTGGGTCGGACCCGGTAAGTGGCTCCAGAGCCAGCACGCAGTCAGACGCGACGTGCCAGGTCCGAGGCCGCGTGCTGGGTTGCACCCATCACACCAAGTCCAGCCACAACCAACCCTGCGCACCAACCTGATGCAGCACACAGCTGAGGAGGGGACCACACGATGGGTCCAGAAATTTGGTGGTAGGGGCTGAGGGAGGGAGTAGTACTAAGGAGCAGTGTTAACTGCTGTGGCTCCCACCTGCCACCGCTCCAACCCTCCCCTCACCAAATTTCTGGACCTGTGGGGGTCCCTCGTGCTTGCATATAATGTACACCCCAATTTTCCCCAGCTGGCTTCGGGAGGAAGGTGCAGGTCATATGCAAGAGAATACGGCAGGTCTTTCCCAACTGGAGAGAGACAAACAACCGGAAGAGAACAGGAGAAGCCAGAGAAGGGATGAGGACACCTGATGTACAGTCACACGGGTGCCTGCATTAATAATGTCCCATGCTCGATGCCTCTGAACCATTAGAAAGGTTCTGCCTTTTATAATCGGAAATGAACTACCCCGAATGTCAGTGTGCTCAGACAAGGGAGCGGGGCAGCGCTCTGCATGCTGCACAGCAGCATCTGGGGAGCGGGCAGAAGAGCCGGGCCTGAACCGCTGAGCTGCCTGCAGGACGCACACGTAGGCATCCTTTATGCTGATTAAAACGCCCCACACTACAGTGCTCACCAAGCATTTCAGCCCCGCATCAGAAGCTATGCAAATGCTCACAAAAGTAAAGAAATGCCAGAACTTCTTCTACAACCTTCATTTGGCCCCTAGGGCATGTGCATTAGCTACCGTCATTACCTACATGACTGCACTTGATCCTAGCCCACAAAAGGCGAGAAACCTCCCCCAAAGCCATCCTCCTGCTCGCTCTACAGCGTAGACAGTGATCACTTAAAGGAGTGACCACTGCACTGCACTTGGTTAGTTAATTTGCTGAGCATCAGCTAATTAAATATTGTTTCACAAGTGCCCTGAGGGCTGAAGGGCTGCTACCATGCCTGTGTTTCACACAGGAAACAGAGGCAGGGAGTGTTTCAGGATAAAGTAAAATTAGTTTTGCATGCCCCAGTGAAGATACCTAGGACCCGATTTGTTCCAATGCTAGCCAGGATGCAGCACCTCCTATCACCAAAAGCACAGCTCCCACTGACCCCAGCTGCGACACTTCTGCAAATCAGACCCCTGGTTCTCAAGTCCGGCGCTCAGGGAACGTCATTAGTGAACAGCGTGATCTACATCACTGGATGAACAAACAGCAACGCTGTAGCAGAGGCAAGAAGGGACCTGCTTCTCCAACCTGCCTATTCACTATGCACCCTCCAAGCACCGAAACAAGAGCCGGGACCTAGAGCCAGTCTCCTCACCGCGCTACCCTGGCTTAGCTCGATTCCTCCCCAGAACAGGTTTGCCCTGTGCGCAGAACGAGGCAGGGGCACTCTGGAAAAAAACTCGTATGAAATGAAAGACTGCAGCACGAGGCACATGCAAGGGCATCTGCACGAATGACTGAAGCTTTCCATAAAATCAGCACCGTTTACAGTCAGCTGAATGGATGAGTCAATGCTTTTCCATGCTCATTTAGACCAAGTAAATAACCTCTGTCTACTAAATTAGTCTGTCAGAACTCCAACAGAAGCAAATCTCCATCTGCAGATTCGTTTAAAGAATCAGCACAAGAGCAGGCACCGCATGCACTGCACAAACATGCCTCTCTAGAACCGCTCCACAGGTTTTCCTAATGATAATATAGTATTCTTAAAAGTCCATTCAGACAACTTACTATGTTCCTGTATCCAGGGACTCTTAAGTGAAATGCCTAAACAGGTAAGAATACAAATTGAGATTCCCACTGCATTGCTAAACTGAAATGTGTATACCACGTGACCATCCCATGTTAAGAACTGCAGAAGCACATTCCTACTGATATAGTCAGACTTGTAAAAATAAAAGTTACACATCATTGCTTCACTGAACGTACAATCAGTAAACCGCATGTTTAGTTTATATTGTCACAAGCACGTTCTGCAAAACACAGATTAATTAAAGAGCTTTCTTGAAACAGAGGGTGGAAAAAGCCTCTGGAAACCTTGTTAGCAAAGACTGTCCTAAATTCATGAACAGGTGCTAACAAAATTCAAGAGGCTGACTTTTGGATTAACACAGTCTATTCTAGCCAACGCAGATTAATTGTAAAGAGCCTTCTTTTAAATAAGGAACAAAAAAAGCCTTGGAAAACTTGTAAGCAGAGCCTGTCCCGAATTCATGAATGACTGCAAACAAAATTCACAAGACTGACCTTTGGATTAAGCAAATAACTCCAAAGCAAGTTTATGCAAACATCACAAATTGGTTTATGTCTCTTTCTTCAGGCTATATATACACACGTCTATATAGTTTATCTAACTGAATTAATGTGATTCATATACTAGTAATCTAGTATAATGTAATACTATGCACTTAATACATCTATTTACATCTACACACACACAATAATAAAATAAATAAATGAAAAAAGGTGCAAACGCCTTGTATATTGTGACCTGTAGCAGGTTTACACCGATCTTCAGAAATTGGTGTAAATCAGAATCTTTATTCTGATTGATTCAGAGTCTTTATTTATACAGGAAGTAATTCAAAACCGAATGCCATCCCGTGCGACAGACACGCTGTGCTGAGAGTAACCCTGCCTGAAGGCAGAGTTCAGCTCCTAACGAGCCCACCGAGCCCCAGCAACGGATAGTCGACTACCTGGACATAAACTGCCAACCGTGATAACGTCTGTTTGTACGGCAGGAACGCAAGCTAGGAATCACTACACGAGGCACTGGGCATAAACAATCTAAGGGCACTGTCCTACATGGTAGCATCCCAAGGCACAGCAATGAAGGGATGCTGCTGTACGGCTTTCAGCGTGGAAAGGAAAATCGTGGTAAAGACAATGCCGTACCTTTAAAACATAATACAACTGTAACAAGCTATTTCCTCATAAAAAATTTACCTTCTCTTCTAATGTAAATGCACAGTACCGTAATATGTAGCCAACCAAACCCACAAAGGCCATGCGTTGCAATGCAAATACATGCATATATTCCGCAGTGTCAGAAAGCTGTTGCAGCTGGCAAAGTGTACTTTCCACTGCAACCCTTGGCACAGCAGTTTCAAATGGGACACATGAGTAAGAACTGTACAAGTGAATAAGGGTTTGCACTGAAAAATACCCCCAAGACTTGGAACAGCTCTAAAACCACGTAATTTATACAAATCAGAGCGCAGCACCTACGCACTTGATCTCTGCCTCCCCCACGACTGCACACAGTGACCAGAATTCCTGCGGGGTTTCCAAGCTTTTCCACGTGCTCCTTAACAACAAGAGCTAGGCAAGCTGAAGACTTAAACAATCCCCAACTTTGAAGGATCCTGAGGCATAAACAAGTTTGGCTTTATGCAAGAAGACAAGAATGCATGAAAAACAAACCCAGGAGTTGGTTTGCAAAAGGGTGCCCTTGTCCTACATCACGTCTTATGCAACCAATCTGACACTTCCTACGTACAAAAGTTATCCTATGTCTGGCCCATAGACGAACAAGCCTTATTTCAGAGCTAGACAAAGATAGCACAGAAAAGCCACTAAAGACCATTAAATAATATTTGATTGGTCTAATAAAAGATAAGACATCTACCCAAACCCCCTCGCCTGCCTAAAGACCGTTAACAGACAACTCTGACACCACCTACTACAAAGAACTACAAGAAGATCCTACTCCCCTTTTCACCAAGAAACTCAACAAGACCATCAAATCATTTCCATCAGGACTACAAGAAAAACTACAGACCTTGGCCCCCCCACTACCTAACCCGGGGACTTTTTACCTGCTCCCTAAAATCCACAAACAAGGTAACCCTGGCAGACCTATCACATCCAACC